CCTGGACGAGCACTGCCTAGCAACGGTGATTCGTGCCCTGGTAACTTCCCGGTTGGATTATTGTAACGCACTCTACGTGGGGCTGCCCTTGGAAACGGTCCGGATACTTCAACTGGTACAAAATAGAGCTGCCAGGTTGCTGTCGGGGGCCAGTCATTATTCTCATATAACGCTGGTCCTCTATCAGCTACACTGGCTCCCAATTGAAATCTGGGCCCAATTCAAGGTTCTGGTATTAACCTATAAAACCCTGAACGGATTAGGTCCAAAATACCTGAAGAATCACCTCCTTCCCTATATGGAGGATCCATCCTTAAGATCGGCAGGGGAATCCTTGCTCCGGGAACCCTCAAGAACTACAATGGGCCACACTCCCTGGGGGTCTTTAGCATGAGTGTGAAGGTGCATCTCTTGCTTGACCTGTTTTTAATGCTGTTTGTATTCTAAGGTGATATTGTTTTAAAGGACTGTACACGACCATGGTTGCTTTTTAGCAAATAAGGCAGCAAATGAATCAAACAGGTACCTGTTATGCCAGTGGAATTACAAGAGTTAGACTCATTTGGCTAGTGGCTGAACCACATGCACACTGCACTGCAGTTGCCCCGAGGTCTCCAACATCATGCTCAGCAGTTTTCCTGCCCTTTTATTTTATTTTATTTTAAGAGTTTTAAAACCATTCCTTGGAAGACTGGAAGGCTGACACGCTGCAAAGTGAAAGGCTACCCGCCAGTGCCACCTCCATTTGTACTCCAAGAGTGGTTTTGTGTCGTGGAGCTCTGCCATATACTCAGGGTTCTCGAGCAAGTTATTTTTTAGTCTTAAGAGCTGTCTTCTGCGAAATGATGGTTGTATAACTAGCCATGCCTGCTGCGGCGACCTTTTTCTAAATGTACTCTTTTTAATTTTAATATTCTCAAAGTATTCTCAAAATTTCAAAATCAACCCACCAGTCAAAAAGAGTTGAGAAACCCTGTATGGCCTAACCAAGACATCACTAAAGCATGGGTTGCAGGTAGAGTGTCCTTTTCCAAAAGTCAAAGCTACCTTTGGACATCCAAACCTGGCCAGGTGTAAGCACCCCAAGCCATGCACTTGATTCTTCAAAGGGACTGCAACTCAATCTAGAATAAGGCCACCACATATGGAAGATACCACAGTCTTTCCCTCCCCTTTACTGGTACAAGTTGCAGTCCATCTGGAGGGCACTAGGTTATGCCCTTTATGTAATCATAGATTCTGTTAAGAATGGGATATGGGTATGCTTTTAACAGTTGTTTGATTAGCATTTAATATTCCAATTTTAATGTTTTATATAGTTTTATATGGTTTTACTACCTGTAACTCACCCAGGGGGCCATGCAGCTAATGGGGCAGGCTAAAAATCCGTAATAAAACTTCACTGATCCATGATTTAATTGTGGATCCATGATTTACTAGTGGATCAGGGGGTCAACCTAGCATGCATTACTGAGACCTGGGAAGATGAGGCTGGAGTGGTTACTCTGTCCCAGCTTTGTCCTCCTGGATACTCAGTACAGCACCAACATCACCTTGAAGGCCCGGGAGGGGAAGTGGCCATTGTTCGTCATTATTCCGTCTCCTCCTTGAGGCATCCTGTTCACTCGCGCGTGTTGGGCAATCAAAACAGATTAGGGATCCTACTGGTGTACTGCTCACCCCGCTGCCCAGCAGCCTCTCTGCCTGAGCTGGTGGAGGTAGTCTCCAACTTGGTGTTGAGGAGCCCCAGAATGTTGGTCCTGGGGGACCTCAACTTCCATGAGGAGGCTGCCTTATCCAGGGTGGCTCAGGAATTTATGGCAGCCATGACAGCCATGCAGCTGTTTCAACATGTCACCAGCCCAACACATATTAAGAGCTCACACTCTAGATCCGATTTTCTCAACTGGGCAGGAAGATGATGAGCTGGGAAATGGGGGGTTAATACTGACCCCTCTGCCTTGGTCAGAGCACTTGCTCCTGAGGTGTGAACTAATGGCCCTTTTCCCCCTCTACAGGGGTAGGGGACCCATTAAGTTAGTCTGCTCCCAGAGGCTGATGGATCCAAATGGATTCCAGGTAGCTCTAGGGGATTCTCCAACTGGTATGGTAGGCACGCTGTCAACACCCAGGTTGCTCTATGAAACACAGAGGTGGCCCAGGTGATTGACACGATTGCTCCCAAGGACCCTTTCCCTTCTCGCAGAGCTCAGCTGGCTCTTCAGTATGCGCCAGAGCTAAGGGTGATGGAGCAAGAGGGGAGACAGCTAGAACACAAGTGGAGAAGAGCTCAAAATGAATCTGACTGGACACGGCTTAGTGCCCATTATCGAGCCTATTCCATGGCAGTGAAGGCAGGGAGGAAGAGCTTTATTGCTGCCACATTTGCATCCTCATCGTGTTGCCCAGGAGAGCTTTTCTGTGTGGTTCAGGGCCTTTTATACCCTAGCCCCAAAGGTGATTTGTTGAACTCTCAGAGGTCCCCTGTAAGGAATCTGTGTGACACTTTGAGGATAAAATTGCTCAGATCCATAGCAACTTGGACTCCACAGTTACTCTGGTTCCATCAGCAGAGGTGCCCAGTGCGCTGTCTTGTATCATTCGGATGAGTTTAAGCTCGTGCGGCCTGATGTGGACTAGGTGCTCGGATCTGTCTGGCCTCTGACCTGCTTGCTTGATCATTGCCCAAAACAACAGAAACTGCCTTGGTCACCTTGTGGGATGACCTCTTCTGGGAGAGAGACAGGGAGCGCAACCCTGTTGATTCACTACCACGCTAAAAAATGTGCCCCAAATGTGCACATACAATGACTTTTAGTTGGAACTGCACATTTCTAGAAGTGTAGGTACAAAATGGGAAGCTGTGCCTGGATGTCCTGAGAGAGACCTGCTGTCAAAATGCAAGAGGCACTAACCACAGATACCGAGCCAGTAGGTTATTTTTGCTTTGCTTTGTCTTGACAGCTGTAAAATGGCAAGCTGTCAGTTGAAAGCAAAGATCCAAGGAGGCAGAACGATTTATCCACCTTGGCACTGAGATTCTCAGGGCTCACTCTCTTCCCCATGCTCGCAACTTTTCCACCCCTTCCTGAGACTCAAGAACCTTGGGAAGAAGGTAAAAAGCATCATACTTCATTTACTGGAGCGTGGAGCTTGACAGTTGTCAAAACTCTGGTTCCTTTTCAAATGGATTTTTGACCAGGCTTCCCACAGCTTTTTCACAGGGACCTATGAATTCATACTGGCATACCCTGTTTGAATAATGCATGGGCGGTCCTGTCCAAAAATCCCTTTTAAAAGGATATGCAGTTCCTGGCAGTTCGGAGGAGCTGTGAATGGCTGCTGAAATGGGGATCATCAAATTAGATCTCCAAGAGGAAAAAAATGGTAAAGGGGCCGGGGCAGGGTGGAGTTGCAGTGTGCTAGACTGTCTGGCAGTCTAGAAATGTTTTTTTTTTTTAAATAAGTAAAACAGAGGGTGCAAAAAGCAATCCCTGAAAATAATGGTAAGGGAGAAAGCCACAATGAGTGGCTCTGGAGAGTGATGAGGGGAGGAGGAAGAGCCTGTGACAGTCACCCCACCACACCACTTGGGGATCAATGGGGCGGCTGGCACTGGCTGCCATTCAAACAAGCTTGGAAGGAGAAGCAACAGATTTTTCACTGTTCTTGCCAAGTGGCTCATTCACCATTGCCAGAACCCACAGTGAGGCCTTTCAGCCAGGCCTGGTGAATACACCAACCGACAAAGGGTGAAACAAACCCTGCTACAGACTATGAATGACGTGCCATGGCGGGATGTCATGCCATGCAAACTAGGTCATTGTCCCTCTGCCTAACCTACTTCACATGGTTCTGTGAGGATAACTTAAGAGAAGGCTCATGCAGTATCCTGGGCTCATTGGGGAAAAGGCAGAATACAGTCTGGGACATTTTTTTGCTGCTTTCTCTGTCAAGTGCAAAGTAAACCAATGGCAGTATATCAATAACAGTAAAAATAATAATAATGCAGCATCTCTGCAGCTCTCTAAACCTCAGTCCATTGGAAGGAAGTTTACTCCATGCAGGCTAACAATATAATCTGGTTACTATGACAACCTGTGGCGTTACCATACTCTATTAAAGAGGAGAATGATAGATTCTTACAGCTTCCAACACTAAAATGTGAGCCTATAAAATCTTGACACAGGAGATTCTGATCTCTTATACTATGGAAAGTTTACTGTTCCATTAACCACAGCTGCCCCTCCAATGTAAGGTCTAATGACCTTCCGTGGATTAGAAAAAGCCAACTAAACCTGGCACAACATATCTTATGAAGCATCATTAAAAATATCCACTTTGTTGCCTTTGTTCTTTAAACATGAAAGATCATAAACAAGCCATTTACATCAAGCAGTAAAGCGGCTAGAAGCTCTGGAGGGAATCTCTGTGGGCAGGTGGGAGAAGGCTAGCACTAAAAGCAAGCTGGAAAAAAGCCCTGTTTCTGCTGTTCCAGTTCCAACTAAAATGCATGTATTTGTCTCTTCACCAGTCTAATTTCCCAATGAGGTTTGCCGCCAACATTTTTTAAAAGCAGGGAGATTGGTGGTAGTGGAGAGAGTGCTGAAATGAGGTGAACGCTTTGAATTTTCTATCACCCAATTCCAACATACACCCTGCAATGTGACATGGTGATACCATGACTGATCCTCCATCATTCGCTACAGTTTCCCTTCAGCAACAGGAGCAGCATCCACACAGACACTCCTATTAAGTGCTATGGAAAAAACAATGCACCATATAAGGCTTCCCCCTCCACTGATGTGAACATGAAAACCTGTTCTAAAGACGTTCCTCCAGGACTTGTTGCTCCTGCACCATGTAACGATATCATTCATTTCTGCACAGCAATTTGGGCATGGGTGCCCTTCAAGAACCTGTGGTCTGGGTTATGTGAGAATGGACCCATGGACACTTGAAAAGTGGGGCTCTAGACTGATGCCCTCCTTTCACATTACCGTATTCATGTCCAATGTTTCTTCAATCATCTTCTGGAAATTGGAGAAATCAGAGAGCAGCTCTTTAAGAGGCTTGGTAAACACCTCTTCTACTAGCATGTCATGGTTTCCTGCCAAAACGTGAAGCACACAATTAGGAACAACACAAGTACGAGGCTGAATCAGACCAAAGCTCTATCTAGTCTTCAGTGGCCAACCAGATGCCTATGAGAAGCCCACTGGGGGGTGGGGGTGACACATACATACATGTACATACATACATAAGAAGAGTCTAGAAGGTAAGTAAACTATAATTTGTACCACACCAATACTTGGAGTCATGTTTCATTGCATATGTCAAAAAAAAGGTTAGTGTCTGTGAACACCTTGGCTGTAAAATGGGAAACTGAAACTATACCCGTCCCATTTACAGTTAAGAACAAAGGTTTACAGAGAGCTATAAAATTAAATTTTTGATCAAACCAAAAATTTTTGGTTTTGTAAAGTAAATAGTACCGGTTTCTATGTCATCAGGACCACAATACCTATGCACAGGAGGAAATTCTAAAAAGGCTGCAGTGAACCCATGATTTGCAGAAGTTAAATAAAAATCTTTAGGGAAAATAACCCTATGAGAGAGGGACCAAAAATATTGCAATCTCAAAACGCTGACTGACTTCTATGCAGGATGGCAGGATACACAGGATGGAATATTTGGGCAGAGAGCACTGCTGGTATCCGAGCACCTTCACACAGCACCCTTTTTTCTTGCAGAGCCACTTAGAAACAGAGCGAGTCAGAAGAGCCTCCCGGGCCATCTAGTCTGACCCCTGGCTCCGCTCACGACATGCCCACCACAGGCGTGTCTACAAACACACTTTTGGCACCATGGCAGCACATAAGTTTGTTTTGTTGTTGTTTTGTTTTGTTTTAGAAGCAAGCACATACACTCTGCAAATCTGTGCATGCTGCTCCATCAAGAGCAACTAGTAATATCTAGTTTTCGGGCAAGAATCACACTGTATGAATGATTTAAAGCACACACACTTGCAATGTACTTTTCACAAGCTGTCAAATATAGGAGGGATTTTTATCAGAAGTTACCACTTAATTTTCTCAGCTATGTGCACACTCAAATCAAAAGAATGTATTTGCTGGGGTCAACAAAGTTCATCTTTCCTTGACTTAATGAGCAAGACAGATCTTTATGCTCTCGCTAAAAATGTCAACCTTAAATCGCTCTGTCCTCAAAGGAATACTTACTACTGGGTTGGCGGGGGAGAGTCAGAGAGAAAGTTGACAGCCTGATCATTGCACTCATGGTGCTAGGGAAACACTTTCAACGGAAAAACAGAGATAAAACAAGATTTCCACAGCACAGGGATAAGGTTGAAGATCTAAGTGTCATTAACCAAGGTTTGGCCGAACTGCTTCCCTACAAGCTGATTTCCTCAGTTGTTTCTCCATTTTCCCCATTTGTCCGAGTGTGGTCAGCAACACTGAAATATAAAGACATTTCCACATACAGGGCACCACACACCTGGGAAAGGTCTTGGTATTTCAGTGTCGCTGACTACACTTGGGCACACATGCATTCACATGCATGTCTGAAAGGGGACATGTGGTAGCAAGAGCAGCCATTCATTCAAGTGCTCAAGCACATGGCACATTAAAGTACTGATGACATGATCTGTTTAAGCCAAGTACTCCTGTTTTCAGAGATAAGACGCACTGTGACCAAGTACAAGAGCTTCTTGGTTGTGACATCTCATGTCTGGAATGCTCTTCTCAGAGAGGCTCACCTGCTGCCCAGTTTCATGAATCCCAGTGCCAGCCAGAGACATTTTTATTTGCCCAGGCATTTTGGCAGATGAATTAGCTGCTTTGCACTGTCTTTGTTTTGCTCTTCCACGGGCTGTACCAATTTACTGAGTTTTTATTGTTTCTACTAATTTGATTATTTCATGTTTTGATAGTTTTATGCCTCCCATTTTGGGAGATCTATGCTGCAGTCTGAGGCAGCAGCATGCTAATTCCAAATTGCCTCAACCAGCAGAATGCTGTACTCTTGTGTTCCATAGATCCTAAATCCCCATCCTTACTCTACAGTCTTATACATATGGACCTAGGAGGAAGCCCCATTCAGCTCAGACTAGGTAAGCATAAGGCCGTGCAGTTAGGACACAATGCTGCATATGCTTAGACAGCAAAACCTCCTACACCTCCTAGTACCCCTCCAGTCAGTCAAGGAGCTGTAAGATATTCTTTCTGTCTAACCATGCACAGCAGCGTGCTTTCGGTGATTGTGTAAGAAAAGAAAAAAAGAAAAACAAGAAAGAAAGAATGTCCCTTATACTACAGGGCAAATTCTCCTCCCCTTATACTCCAAAGCAGGATTGCTAGCCTCCACACATGCAAGCACCACCAACCACTACTCTGAAAATAAGGGAAAACAACATAGAATCACAGAATAATAAGTAGACTTGGAAGGGGCCTATAAGGCCACTGAATCCAACTCCCTGCTCAGTGCAGTACCCCAGGTTAAAGCATCCAAGACAAATGGCTGTCCAATTGTCTCTTGAATGCCTCCAGGTAATTGGTTTCATTGCCACACTGCTCTAACAGTCAGGAAACTTTTTCTGATGACTAGCTGGAATCGGGCTTCCTGTAACTTAAGCCCATTATTCTGTGCCCCGCACTCTGGGATAAAGAGATCCTGACCCACCTCAGTGTGGCAGCCCTTCAAGGATTTAAAAAGTGCTATCGTATCTCCCCTCCATCCTCTCTTCTCAAGGCTAAACCGGCCCAATCTCTCCTCATCGGTTTTGTTTCCCTTGAACCCTTTCCAGTTTGTCTGCATCCCTCTTGAAGTGCAGCACCCAGAACTAGACTCGGCACTCAGGAGTGGGCCTAGAACTAGTGTTGAATAGAAGGGAACCAGTATGTCACTTGATTCGGAGGCTATACTTTTAAGAATGCAGCCCAAAATAGCCCAGTCATTCCAAATGCTGTGAGAGTCCCCGCTGTGTGGAGCCTACAAATGAACCAGGCCTCCAGCCTCCAAGGAGGAGCAATTGCGTGCTGCCTCCTTGACTTCACGAACAGACCACCTTGGATTTGGAGCAAGAGGGAAAATCGTGTTACCATCAGTTTTCGCCAGTGCCTCTACCACATTAGGTATCTGATTCACAGCCTGGTAAATTTTGTAACAATCCTGCAAAGTGGCTTTCTTCTGGAATTTCTTGGCTATTCGACTGAAGTCTGGGAAGCGACGGAGAAGATCTTCCTGAAGAGCCTGCCTGAGCTCTGCATCTTCCATAAAGGACTCCACCAAATTTAGCCTGTGGATGGGACAAGGGGGTGGGGGGGACAGAGAAGCAGTTCAAGCATGTAGGGCTTTCGTGGCCTTGAAAGCAAACCATGACAGGTTTTCAACTCCCCCTCCCCCCACTGTTCCTGTTAACACAGAAGGGTTATCTTGCACCAACAGCCAACTCTCTGGTGGTGGCAGAAAAATCACACTGAGCTGAGCCAAGATCTTGACAGCTTGTAGCCAGTTTGCTTTGCTACCATTGAGAATGTTGATAACAATGCCTACTAAATGCTAGAAACAAGATCTCAAGTAGAACAGAGAATCTTCAACGCTTCAGCTAAACTAACCCTGAGGTCAGACTCTAAAGCAGACGATTGATTTTTATTTTGCTTAGCCTGTTATTATCAATAAGCATTTTATAATGCCTTAGAGTTTTCCAAGCATATTCTTAACACTAACCTTTACAAAAGTGGCAGGCCCAACCAGGTTTGCCGGATGGCCTTGCCCCTCTCCCTGGCCTCTTTTCCTCAACCACTGATCATTGGGTAGTTTCCCAGTTTTTGCACAGTCCCCCCACCTACCTGCCCAATTCTAAAAGGCTGAAATGCTTCTCCCAAGGCTTAGTTACTGGAAATAAGCACTTTTAAGTGAAATATGCTGGATTTTTTTTGTAATTTCAGCCCCGCTCCTTTCACCTTCAGCCCAAGGAATGTGGCTCTTAAGCACTTCTCTGAAACTGAATTAGGCCATGGGGCTAAAAGCATCCCCCCCCCCATGCTTTACAAGGACATTGTTAGCCTGTTAGCACCATATTATTTTTGTACTGCAGAGGCAACAGCCTAGTCTATGCCATTCACCACAACTTGAGCATATGGACGAATGAAGATGTACTCATATTATATAGCATTAGACCACAGGATGTTCTAGCACACAGTTGCCAATTTCGACTGACAGCTGCTCCCTGAGATCATTCCAGCTAGAGCTTTCAGCTACTAAAACCTGTGTCCTGCCCCATACTGAGCACGGGCTCTACTGCTGAGCCTCTCAATGCAACTTCAATACCTCCTGGGGGCCAAACCATCACCCTTAAACCCCAAAGGGCCAGCACACCTTTCCAGTGCAAAACAAAGGTCAGAAGACACCCCCTGTGCTTCAATGAAACAAGCAGTTCACAGCAACAATACAGTGTTGTTTTCAGTGCAAGCGAATAAAGATACCTGGAAGAAATCAAATAGCAAATATACCAGGAATGCAAAATCTCTGGCCCCAAGGCTTCCACAGGTTCTTCCAGCTTTGTCTCTAAGCCTCACCCTCTGGAGAAATTCCCCTTGGAGGAATCCCTATTTTTATCCTTGAGCTGAGATCACCAATTGAATGGAAAACCTATGTGGTTTATGCCCCTTCTTGCAGCCCTGAACAGGAACAAAAGTTTAATGTGTTCATGCCCTGCCCAGGCCATTAAAGAGACAGAAAGGTTGCCTGTCATCTACAGGCTGCAAAATGAAAGATGCATCCAGGGACAGAAAAATAGGCTGAAGTTACACTGCTTTGTAGCATCCCTGCTCACAAACCAAAGAGGCTTGCAGAATTTCTGATAAGCAAAGCAAACATTTATTCTGCTGATCCATCCATCCTGTATACCAAAGGCGGTTGGGGGGGGGGGGATGTGTGACTCTCCAGATACTGTACTACATCTTTCACCAGCCCTACCTGATACAGCCCATAGTGGTGGGTGATGGAACTGATGGAACAACAACAGTAGGGCTACACTCTCCCCACCCTGCCACATATGGTTGAAATAACTGGGTATGCTGATCCTGGAGCAGAAAAAATTAAGTGAGACACAATAGTGGTCTTAAAATATCTGAAAGTCTGTCATGCAGAAGATGAAACAGAGGTGCCTTGTGCTACTCTAGAAGACAAGACTACGATTAAGGTTTGAAAGCTGCAGGGAGGCAGACTTCGAAACACAGAAACAGAGGTAGTCAGAAGGGGTCTCCTGGGCCATCTAGTCTGACCCCTGGCTCCAGCCTGTTCCTTTCATGACATGACTGCCATGTGCATGTCCAGCATATCTTTAAACACTTGGCTAAACGCTGGGAGAAATTTGGTAATGGTGAAGACAGTTTGGCAGTGGAACAGGCTGCCTTGGGAGTTGGTGGGCTCTCCTTCATTGGAGGTATTTAAGCAGAAAGTAGGTAGCCACCTGATAGGGATGCTATAGCTGTACCCTGCAGAGAAGAGCCTTCATTGACAAGAAAGCTGGGCTTCCAACTCTATGGCGTAGTTCACACAAGAAGACATCCCTCTGTAGATAATCAGACATGGTGGGCTGTTCTATCTTCTTAACCAACCTGCCTTCTAAGTTATCTTTCATGCACAAACCACTCTGAGACCGCATGGCCTGTTTTAGGGTTGATGCCTCTGGCAACTTGTTCTGCCTCCTGAACACAGGTGGGCATTTTTTCATGGGTTGCTGGGAACACCTAAAGATCCAATCAGCCAGAGACAAACATTCCTGCTACTCCCTGTGTTCTCACTTGTGCCACTGCCATTCTCCTTCATCCCTCTTCAGCTGACAGCTTTTATATTTCTGCAGTGTATCCCTCTGTATTACTGCTTTGGCACGATACTTGTGTACGTTCCTTGTTTCTACTCATTGCTCTGTAACCCCTATCAATATGTGACAGCTAGCAGTGGAAGGGAGCTATCAGCAGGAAGGGACAGGGAGTCAAGAGCAGCAGGAGAAAAGGTGTTTTGCCGGCAAGTGTTCTTACATTGGAATTGGGTTAGTTTAGTTTAGAATAACATGAAATAACTTTTTAATAGCTAGCAAAATAATGCCAAAATGGAAGTTGGAAACACAGGGATGCTTGGTTAAATACTAGAGAAATTTAGACTTGGGTTTCCAAAGTGTTTGCATATTGAATACCTTATAATCTGCTCCAGAATTTTTCCAGGAACTGATGTCAAATTGGCTCAGCACTGCCAGGTTGCTCCTTTCTTCTTTTTTGATGATAGGAACAACATTAGCCCTATTCCTGTCATTGGGCACTTTCCCCACCCTCCATGATTTCTCAAAGATAATATGCAATGGTCCCAAGAGTTCTTCTGGCAGTTCCTTTATTGTCCTGGGATGCAGTTCATCAGGTCCAGGAGAACTGAAGCCTAAGTGTTCCTTGATCATTTGCCCATAAATCTCAAGTTACAATCATGTCCTTTCAACTTATAGTTCACCTTTGCTAAGGCGGTTGTAGATCTTCTTTTGGAAGAAGACTGAGCCAACATAAGAATTGAACACTTCTATCTTTTCTTTGTCATCTATTATCATTTTGCATTCCTCCCTGAGTAATTGAAGTCATGCAGCCCAAATGGACACTCTTAGCAAAGCTTTCAACATAGTGCCCCATGATAAGCAACATTTTAATAGAATTTTTCTCCCAACAGATATAGGAGAAATTGAAGTCCCCTATTAGAACAACATCATGCCTCCTTGAAACACTAGTCACTTGCTTTTCAGAAGTTTCATCCTCATCTTCTCCTTGACTGGGTGGTCAGTAATCGACCCCAACCACTGTGCTCCTTTTATTCCTTGCTCCATTTATATTAATCCAGACGCTCTCAATGGGACCACTAATCTTCCATCAATGATAGGTACGAGTAGGACCATCTCTCTTTTTCATTTTGCAAGTAGCTGCATGAAAGGGTTAGATGCTTGAGGGGAGGGGAGGGGAGGTCTGAGAATTTTCTGCTTTTCAGATCAAGTGCCAGAACACCATCTCCAAAGCAACTGCTGGATTCAAAGCATGCATTAATGCGGAAGGTGGAACACAAAGGAATAAATTCTAGAAAACACCTATTTTTAAAATCCTCTTCTCTTCCCATATGTGTCGGCATGAAGCAATTTAAGCAAAGACACTCTTAAAAAGGAGTCATAAAGCAAGGAAACTCTCTTCCACTCTATGACAAATGAGTCCTACAAGTTGTAGATTTAATGCAGCAATCTTAATGCAGTCTTCTGCAGCTTCCTTGGGACAATGAATTTTAGTCCACTCTTGCCATAACTCCTTAACATTAGACTTCCATCTCTCCTGGCTTCTGCAACAAAGTGGGGTGCTCACTCGTCTTTGATTACTTCTGTCCCCTTAAAGAGAATGACAATTATTCCTCACTTTCTTACACACCAACATTTATGTACTGAAAAGAACGAATTAGGAGAGGCTTTGACAGAGGGCTAAGAGCTAGCATCAGTTAGGGTGCACAGTTGCCTTGTTAGAACATCCTCACTCATAAGCAGACAGTTTCTAAGCCTGATATGTTTTTGAGAAGAGTAAGTATAAACTGCCTAACTACCCCTTCCCTAGACTAACACTTTCCTTCTTCATAGGCAGAATCATATCTCTGGGGACACTTGCACTCCATCTTCTCTTTCTACATTAGCTAAGGGTGGTCAATTGATCTTCTGAATGCTTATTTTCAAATATTTTCACCCAAGAAAGAGCTGTATACAGAACTAAAGCAAGAGAGAGAAAATAAAACATAGATTCAAAACATGGGACAGTGGGGGAAAGCAGCAGCACTGCCCAGGAGTCCTGGAGAAGAACTAGGAAAGAATCATCAATCTCAACTAAATTCAGCACCAACATGATGGTGAAGCTGCTAAAAAATGAAAAAGACATTTCAAATGCACAGGCAGAAGCTTCTTATGCCAAGTCATATCCAGTAGTTGCTGAGAGACAGTCAGGCCTCAGCTGAAGCAGTTTTAGGTTCCATGCTCTTAAGGAAGGTGCCAACTGTTATAAGAGGTACAAAGAGAAGTGAGGAGGAGTCTGCAGGGAAAAATGGGATGAAGGAATGTAACGGTATGGAACGAATGCAAAGCTTAATTCTCCTGAATAATATTGGATCTTTATAAAACACATTTTAAGTGCTGGAAACACTTCATGTTCTTTCTGTAGCTCTTGTATAACAACCCTGCAAGGAAGGCCAAACTATTATCAAATAGTAAGTGGAAGGCTAAGGTTCAAA